TGAAGAGAGTATAGGGAGGGCTTTCATTTGTCTGTGATGGTTAAAAGTCCCTGTTGAGTAAAATTAAGGCTATGACAAGGAGGGCAAGATAAATTATGCTCTTTATCTATTTCAATGTCACTATTTACATAAAAACATTGTACGTGTATTGTTCTTATGCTATTCAAACAATGTGCTATTGCAATTTAGAGTTGATGAAAAGGTCCAATTTTGCTTGCTCTTACACAATAACTGAGATCACATAAGACAGTGAAATCAAGCAGAAAATAGAAAAACCTGCATGCTGCAACGTCAATCATGTTTTCTGATATGCCATCCATGTTATATTTCACAGAGAAGCATGCCTTAGGCTGAGTGAGTTTAAAAAAAACGATGTGAGCGAGANTTGAGCAATACCAAAACAAAATGCATGTAAAGGTGTCTGAAGAGAGTTGAACTAATATAGGGAGGGCTTTCATTTGTCTGTGATGGTTAAAGTCCCTGTTGAGTAAAATTAAGGCTATAACAGGGAGGGCAAGATAAATTATGCTCTTTAACTATTTCAATGTCACTATTTACATAAAAACATTGTACGTGTATTGTTCTTATGCTATTCAAACAATGTGCTAGTGCAATTTAGAGTTGATGTAAAGGTTCAATTTTCCTTGCTCTTACACAATAACTGAGATCACATAAGACAGTGAAATCAAGCAGAAAATATGCCATCCATGTTATATTTCACAGAGAAGCTTGCCTTAGGCTGAGTGAGTTTAAAAAAAACGATGTGAGCGAGACAGACGGACAGATTGAAAGAATGTGGATCGGTTGGATTTAGAAAATAAGCTGTATGAAAAAAACTAAATATTTCCACCACTCAAAGAACGTGTGAGAGGTAGACGAGGGTGGAAATAAAATGTTACCGTGAGGATTGGGCTGCTCCATGGATTCCACTGTGTATCCATGGTTGGTTGAGAAGAAACACCAGGGGACGTTCCTCTCGTCCAGGGGGCCCCAGCAACATCCTCGCTCCTCACAACGCAGCTGTTCCAGCAGGGACGTTGATGTTGTTATCATTATCATCACCAGCATGGCCTTTATTAATGTCATTACTGCTACTATAAACATCGTTGTCATCATCATCATCATCATCATCACCGCTGTTTCTAATAATCATTCAAACCAGGGTAGCAAAAAGCATCAACAGCTATTTAAATTGTGAGTAAGAATTGAGTTGTAATATAAATGTTTATTATGGAATCTCCTATCTGTAGAGTTATGCAGTTTTTTTGGGAGCATACTATTAAAGAATGTTTTTAGTTTTCACCTGAAAGTGGGCATGCCCTCATTTCGCCAGGTAGTGCTCTTATATAAAACCACACAAAATCTTGGTCACATGACTCTATGTCACCGCCAGAAAGATAAAGGCTACTAATGTTCGATTGAAGATCTTTAGCAGTCTGGTTTAGTCACTTTTTAGCAACCACTGTTTTAAAACATGTAAAAGCTTCATACATTTACTGGTGGGGCATATTTAAGCAATAGCTCACGACAGGCCGTGGTATATGGCTATTATATCACAGTTAAGGGGCGTGGTTCACTCATTTGAGATGTATACAACCCCCTTAACTTGGAGAGAGCTTGTGGCCACTAACAGTCATCATTTCTCTACTTTGTTTCAAGACCCGCATCAGAAAGCTTTTGAATGGTGGTACTTTTCCAGTTGGTCTACCTGCTCTTCACGTAGCTCTGCATGCCGTCGTTTAGGTACTTTTTTTTTTTGGAGATAGGCACTGCTAAATCCACTCCTCCATAGTAAGACCCCCCCGGAGGTCGAAGTTAATCTTAAATGTTTCCATCTTATGCTTTGTAAGTTTGTTTCGTAACGGAAGAAATTTAAATATATTTATAAAACTGACAAGTCAAATCAAGCAATCTGATTGTCTGATAGTGTTTTTGCGGACCTCTTTGATTACAGATTTGAAAACATCGTTGCTTGCTTTAAAAGTAGCACAATTCATTATGTCAAACCTTGGAAAGTGTCTAGATATCCCTGCCCTAATGCCAAAGGAACTGCACACTGAATATGTTTTGCCCTTTGATGTCTATGTCTGGACCGCTGCGTAAAAAGGAGGCTTTCTGCCCCGTTACTTCTCCGCTGCTTTCTTGTTCCAGTACGGTATACTGTTTTTCTCAGACGCAGAGGGATAATGACTTGTTGTGAAAAGTAACTTACAATTCTACCCATGGTATACGCTCAGTATATCACGGCTAAGAACCAATCAGATTGCTTGATTTGACTTGTCCGTTTTATAAAAAAGGATATTATTGGCCAACAATGTTATACAGTATCAGTGCATTGCTAAATCAGTGGATTACTCTTTTAAGGATAACCAAAGTGAATACAATTCTTGCCAAGGAATGGTTGTTGAGATATGACAATATGGACTGACTGACCAGCATCGTCATCCTACTGCCAGCTGAAAATAACAGCTCCAATAGCATCAGAATAGCTGGGGAACCCAATATTGTAATATAATTATGGAATTGAATACATCAAACTGGGGGTGTTATCCGAAGAGATTGTAGAAGACAGATTCTGTGAAAGTCACATCATTTCCATAACATTCATACCGACATGTTTGATCTCAAGCTAATAAGGAAGTGGAACCATCATTTGTGCTTATTTGGTTCATCCCCTTTAAGCCAATTCCCTCAATTAAGTAAATGTCAAAACGGTGTCAAAATAAATCATCTTCCGAATTTTCGTAACATCTCACCAGATTTGTTGCATATATTGCCATTCAGATCCTTGGATATATAGCTTGACAGGAAAGGGGGTGTTGCAACATACTGTATAGGGTACGGAATGGCACAATTTGTACAAAAAGTCTCTGTCTGATATCTAGCTTTTAAAATGATTCAATATGCGATGTGTGCAGTGTTAATATCATAGATATTGAGGCACATTTCCATTACTTTATTTTTGACTGATTGAGAATCACAAATACAAAAATACAATTTCCAAATAAATTGCCATTTACTGTTTTGTGGTTTTATTTTTTAACAGAAGTTGAATGAATTAAACATGACTGCAGGCAATCAAGACAGAACAGAAGACCACTTATAATTTGATTATATCCATGAGAAAAAACCCAGGGTGATGAGGTGCTTGTTTTGATATAAAGATCTATCTTTTCATCTCCACTGCACTAATAACACCCTATTACGTGATTGAGAAACACACATATTCCTCAATCCAAAGTATTACATTCCAAGTGGGTGTATAGGGCTTAGATGTATTGTTTTAAAAATACATTTTAATCCGCACATTTCATCTCAAGCCAATGTTTCTATGAAATGTTGTTTAAAATTATTAAAGAGAATGTTTTATTTATTGTTTGTTATGTGTGGGGGGAAAAAACTAACAGTCTAATATCTATCAGAAGTATTTCCTATCAAACTCCATAGTATTAACCAAAACATCCTTCAAGTATTCTTGAATCTCTAGGATATTAATAATCCTTCAACCACAGCAATTTCCACAGGGGCTGCAAAGGATGCAAATGTAAAAGTGATGTAGTAGTAACAAGACTGCAAAAGGCAAACTGTGAGGATACTATAAGTAATCACATGTCAAACATAGAATGCAAGGTAAATACAACCATGACACCCCAACAGATTTGTTTAAAGCAGTAAATGCTGTGTTCTCATGATTGGGAATGTCACTCACTTACAATCCTATGCAACAAGTCCAACAGATTATTTTCAGAAGTGTGAGCGTTCTGTTGTTTTGTCATTGATACAACATGAACAGACAATTTTTTTATTTTTAGCTTGAGTTCACATGGCCTGTCGAATGTTTTCCAGGCTCTTCTCGATGTTGTCAATAACGTCCACGGAAGCTTGTGGGATCCTGGTTCCTGGGCCGAAAATAGCGGATACGCCACTCTGGTACAAGAACTCATAGTCCTGCGTACACACACAGGTGGAAAACAGTATATGAACTGCAGTGAATGAAAAAGTCAGCTCTATATATGTAAAGAACGTGCTTAATTAGGTTGTCAATTACGCTTCACAGACACAACTAGACGTATCCTCAAAAGCAAAGGGATGAAATGTGTTTGCAGAGAAATGGGGTTGATAGGAACAGGATGACAGGAAATGAGACAGCACTGCATGTAATCAAGGACATCCTCTAGAGAAGGAATGATGATCATCACATCAGATTGGATATTTTTCCAATTGACAGCGGGATGACATCATTTTACGTGTGTTTTTCATGTCAGAGGCTTTAAGAACTAAGCTTCTCTAGAATAGCTGTCGAGATATTTTCAAGCAGCTTCTAAAAGGCACAGCTAAAGTTCTACAACGTGGTGATTACTGACAAGATTACCAGCTCCCTGTGTGGAATGATGTATTCCAACAGACACCAGCATCTCAACGCCTTTCTCAGGCTCATTAGAAGATATAAAAGAAACCTTTGGTTTAATTATTCATAATCATTTTACAGCTTTGATAATTGAAAATTCCTCACATGTACTGGGAAAGTGTGATGCTTTTACTTACTATGTTCAAACATCAGGTCTATATTTAAACATCAGCCTGACAAATACAGGCAAAAAATACCTTGCTATCTGTCCCTACACCTGCTTACAGTACACTTTTTAACATACAGTTACTATTGCATGAACTACAAATTCAAGTATGCACAAAAGAGTAAAACCTGATTCAAAGGAGAAGGGCACTGTCAGAGCGCCAACCTCAGCCAAGGTTGTTTCCGTTTGTACGGTATAGATACAGTATTGTTCAGTCTTTGTAGGCATAGGAACCCTGCACTTTGGTGCTAAGAGTCCACATCGCAGACAACATTGAAGGTCGTTTCCATTCATCAAATGCTTTTACTTTCCCCAAAGGTTAATGGCTTCTTTTTTGGCCCACGCTACATCCTTAGATCCAGTTTAATAAAAACGTGGGCAGTCATTTTTTACACAAACCTTCTGTGAAACAGACAAACAAACTGAACCGATAACATAACCTTCTTGGTGAGGGGAATTGAAGAGAGAATGAAAACACAGAATGTAGGTCAATGTCTACCAAACGCCATGTAACAAGATATCGATTATTATTCCCACCATGAGATATATGATATAAAAGTCAAAGGTTACCTGTGGTGGGATGACACCTCCACAGATGACCAGGATATCTGGCCTGTTCAGCTTCCGTAGTTCCTTGAGTAGCTCCGGTACCAGGGTCTTGTGTCCTGCTGCCAGCGTGCTGACCCCGACACAGTGCACGTCTGCATCGACCGCCTGCTGAGCAACCTCAAGTGGAGTCTGTTCACCCAACAGTCAAGCATGGAAAAACAGAGAAAACACTGGGTGAGCTGCACGAACATAAGACCAAGAAACTTTCATCACAAAGTACAGCTAAACAATAGACATCTACAAGCTCTATAAATGTTTTATTTAATCTGATTTGTATGCAATGCTCCATTCATTATTTAACTACTTCATTTGAAAAAGAAGTCAAACAACAGTCGACATCAAGGTAATGATGTGAGGTGAAACACAGAAAATGAAGCAACCTGAACAACTTCAGCTCAGGGAGTATTGACTTTTTATTCCGCTTTATGATTTCCATCATTAGAATCTGAGCTCACCGGGGTGAATTTGAAGATAACTCAAGAAGTTGTGTTAATTAGTAAATCCTCTTATCAACAAACAACAAGAAACCGACTGTGTGTCTGTTTACGGATGTGTGTCTATAATTTGAGCAATGCAATTCTGCTCTTCAGCATGTTACCACCTTCTATGTGCTTTTCAAAATCAAAGTTACAGGGTTTGGGATCAGCGGCTAACACTATAAAGTGTATGCACCAATACATGCCAACCTTTCCAAATCCAAAAGAGGTAGGTTTGCGCGCGGCAAATGTGCACGCCCAAATTAGGTAATCAGAAGAAATGGAACCCCAATAATTACATGTATAAACCATGTATAAACATGCATTTTTCAGAAAAAGTGGTAGTTTGGTAAACAGTGACATCAACGACATGTCTGGTCTGTAAAATGCCCGAAAAGTAAAAGAATGGGAGATAAATATCCCAAAGTCTCCACATTTTATTATATTTTTAATGTGTTTCTGGTCCTCTTTCAGTTGAGACAGTGTAGATGAAGGATGTGTCAGGATGTAGAACTCTTGTGTGAACATTGGATAAAGCCAGGTTCATATTCTTGTTTCATGTTGTTGACATATTAGAGTCAAAGGTTTGCACAGAGCGAAATATCTTTGTGTTGCGTGATGTATCAGAAAATACTGCATTAAAATAGTAATTTCCTGCATTTTTCTACTGATAAAGTGTGATATAAATAATGTACAGGCTTTCAGATTGCTGTAGTTCACTAAACAGAGACATTAACGACATGTTTGGTGTTGAAAATGTCAGAAAAAGTGAAAAAATGGGAGATAAATATCCCCAAATCTCAAAATTGTATTATATTCTGTGTGTGTTTGTGGTCCTCTTTCAGTTGAGAGTGAGACTCTGTAGGATACTTCCGGAAAAGACCAAACACTGGATGTCTTTCAGTCGCCAACATGTGTTTTCGAGACACTGATATTAACGGGGAAATCCTGCAGGACTCAAATGCCTCGTTGTGGGTAACGCTGCCTTTCCCGCAGCGATTACACCCGGTCTGCACGTTGTTTCTCTCTCAGAAACACAGAGGACTACTGTTTGTATGATGCAAACACAGACACGCTGCAAACGGTGTCCGCCAAAAGTCGAGTCCAGTGTCTATGGAGTGTCATTTTTATTTGTTATAGTTTGGCAAGATTGAAAATCAGTAGGGAAAGCCAGCTAAGTTGCTAGGCGGTAAAAACATGTCAAAAGCGGTAGACTACCGCCCAAATCGGTAGGTATGTGCACCTTTTGCCACGTGCCCCTTTTTGTCATCTTTGGTTTTGAACGCAATTGTGCTTTTCAGTCTGGCACCGACAGCGTTATCAACAATGAATTATATGTTCACAGCTTCAATGCTGCAATTGGAACATTCCATAGTACCACATTCCCTGAGCCGACCAAATCAGAATGGCTAGAAATCACATGTGAGAATATTTTACAGTAAGTAACTTTGTAGTGTCTCTTCCAGTAAATGGTTCCACTATGAGGAACTATGGAAGCACGAGGCATATCAGCGCGACGGATGCTCCTTCCTAAAGCAAGATTTGTCTTAAGTGTTTTTGTAATAACTGTCACTGCAAAAGGGGAAAAAACCTCAACAGTATTGAAAAGTACATAATTAATCTAGAGACCAAAATAAATCAACCTTTCAGTGTGCAGTTAGATAGCTAGCTTACATGAACAGGCTAGCTAGTTAACACTTGCTAACTAACTAACTAGCTAACGTTAGCCATTGACCTAGCTAGCTTTAGCTATCTGTCAGCAAATGTATGGCTCTTGATCAAAATTATTATTAGTTTTTGTATGAAATACTCAATAGTGAAACAGTCTGGACCTGTGTCTACCATTAAGTCACTACAATAACATTTTGTCAACATTTTCTTTTGTGGACTGACCAGCCACTCTCACACACCCAGCAGCTCCAAAAATTGGTGTTAATTTCCAAATAACGGGAATTTTAATTGTTACTTTCTCATCTAAAAAAAACGAAAGAAAAAAATGACACACAATAATTGTTTTGCGCTAAGGTTACACATTAAATTGTTCGGTATGACATAAGATGTGTTGCATGTTTTTGGTGATTTAATTATACTTTAACACGGAGAAAGGACGCAATAAAAAGGCTTTCAGACTTTTTCTTTCAGGAAATATTTCATTGGTTATAGAAGGGAAAGCACAGGCGCAACTAATTAGATTACCAACGCCATTATACTATTTTAATGTAAGCTCTGCTGTAAGTGAACATGCACAATAACAGGAACATTACACTGACACTAGTCATTAATTAAGGGTTTATGCGCTGCACTTGCGTCTGACACGTTTAAAGCTGTGGTCACAATAGCAGGTACATCCATCAGTATATAATGTCCACTGCCTACTAAATACATATTTAATTATAATTTTACCAACAGACTACAAACTGACATAAACACAAGCAGGATCCTTCACACATCAAAAAACCTTGCAAACAGGCATTATTACCAAAAACATATTCTAGAGTATAAAATCTATTATATTCTAGATTTGCATCACAATCTCACAAGACTGATGACAGGTTTGGAGGCACGTACTGTAGGTGCATTGCATTGTGGGGCGGTAAAGTATATGTTGGAAGCTCACATTCAGAAATTCTTGTAAATGTAGTACATTCGGACATTTTATAATGTACACAACATTCATAAAATCCAAATGTCAAGAAAAAAGTAAATGTCATTCAAACCTCCTTTTATAAAAAACGTACGGTTTTCAGAGTACGAATTTTTTTTATACTAAATAATTAAGATATGAGCAAAAATGACCTTACACTTGTAATGCAACTAAAGGAGTGAACATACTGTACCATGGGCGTTGCAGCCATTATATGAGGGTGGGAAAAGTCCCCCCCTCCTTTTAAAATTATTAGTTTAGACCCCCCCACTTTTACTATGCGGAAAGTCCGTGCATCGGTCTATCCACTCGCCACTCTTTGTAGAGCGCTGTGTCAGTGCTTCATTATCAAATCCATTCCACTTGCTTATTGTGAGAATGCCCAAATCAATGAAACTCCATACCATGTTTTCACTGCTACTTTGTACCAAGGCAGATTCTCAGAGCCGCTCATGCCATGTAGCTGTGTCTTCAGTTGTAAAATTATGCGCGCCACAGTTTCCCACGCTGCGAGGCTCCGGAGCTAACAGTTCACGAGCGTGCTCCACTAGCACCCG